TTTTTATACAACTTTAATGCAAAAACAGCTGCTTGTTTAAGTGAAAATACACTGATGGGTTTTTTCTTTGCACTAATAAAATTGTGGAGTTGTAAAGTATTTTGTCTCGTGTCAGTTATATCGTCATCGCAAATTTTCAAATGTATATCGTGATAAATATTTTTGGTCATATCGCCCTGCTCTACCTGACAGGAGGTAAAGTTTGTGGGACGTGCAGCTAAAAGTGTTTTGTACTCTGAGCTTTGCAAATGACACATGAAGCCGATTATCTGTTAATTATCGTTAAATTCCAGTTGTGTGTATGAGCAGATGTTTCTCTGTCATAGCACCGGTGACCTTTCTTTCTCTCTCTGTCCCTCCAGGCCACCATGACTCCAACAGGGAGAAACTTGCTACAGAGCAGGAGAAGCTCTCCAGCCTGGAGCAGGAGTCACAACATGATCGTAATAAGGACGAGGCTCCTTCTGAATCCAGCCTGAAGCTGGATCCTCCTCAGCAACATGACTGTAATAAGGAACAGGTTCTTCCTGAGCAGGAGGGGAACGCCAGGCTGGAGCAGGAACCTCTGCAGGTTAAAGAGGAAGTGGAAGAACTCTACGCCAGCCGGGCGGAAGCAGCGCCTCCGCAGATTAAAGAGGAGCAGGAGGAGCTCTGCACCGCCTACGAGGCAGAGCACCTCATAGTGAAGGAGGAGGACGATACCTTAATGGTGACTCTTACTTACGGGGAAAGTGACAGTGAAACGGAGCCAATCAGCGAGCAGCTCCTGTCTCACAGCCCGCCTGCAGCCGAGAGCACGAACGCAGCCTCGGGATCGAGCGCAGACGCGGAGCCAAAGCCAACGAAGAGACTCGCTAAAAGCAGGAGTGACAGTGCAGAGCGCGCTCCCGTGTCAGAGAGTCAGGGCGATGCAGACGCAGGTAAAAAGCCTTTGAAATGTTACGTTTGTGAGAAAGTTTTTAAGGATAAGTCCCAAATAAAAAGACACGTCAGGATCCACACGGGCGAGAAGCCGTTCGCGTGCAGCACCTGCGGGAAGTCGTTCTATCAGATATACTTACTGAGATATCACGAAAGGACTCACACGGGCGAGAAGCCGTACTCCTGCAAGATATGTGCGAAAACGTTCAGGTGTAGCGACAGTCTGTTGGTCCACATGAGAATCCACACGGGCGAGAAGCCGTACGGGTGCAAAACGTGCGGGAAGAGATTCATCTGCACGTCCAACCTGAAGAGCCACACGAGAATCCACACGGGCGAGAGGCCGCACTCCTGCAAAACCTGCGGGAAGAGCTTCACCCAGAGGGGCAGC